CCATTGATTTGAAAACATTCAAGAAAATGCCAAGTGTTTTACAGTGGGAGAAAATCGAACTTGCATCAAACAACTTAACAAACCGCACACTTCCCACTGCGCTATCTTCCACCCGTTCACGAAACATTGGCTAACCTTGGTGGTGCTTCGCTTGAAGTTTTCAAACGCTCATAACTTCTTCCAGAGAAACGCTTGGCAGATATGGAAGGTAGATTTGGAACGGCGTTCAATCGCTTTATCAATCGTCACTTCGATTATATCGTCCCCTTGTTAGTCACTTATTCTTCATTCACTTGTATCATACTGAGAACAAGTTTGATCCCAAACAAGATATTCCACAATCGTATGGTAAATTGCATGTCTTACTTTGGTAATTTGATGTATTAGAAGAACCGCGTAAGAAACATCTGCCCACTAGAAGTATTCTAATATGTTAAAGATAATAGATAGGAGAAGTGAATTAAATGGTCTTCAGGAAGACGGAGGGTTATTTCAATTATCCGACATTGCAAGCAATCGGCTAATGAGACGACTGCCTGTTTTACACAATTGTACGCTTCAAAAGACCTAAATACAGGCCAAAACAGAGTATGACGTTATAGAACTGATTAGGACGGAAGAGCACCGCTCGTCAAACCACGCTTTCTACAACAAAAAGGAACTGATGTAGGAACATTACAGTGGATGGAGCACTGAAGCCGGTGACTTTCACAGCAAAAGACGGTCATGGGTATGTTTCAACAACAAACAGCCCGACTCATAGGTTTATGGTTAAGACAGGACTAGCTTCAGTTCTGTCATCTTCGTTAAATACTTCCAAATTTAGGATCAATATGAAATATTTAAGAAATATGAGACATCATGAATATTCCAAAAACTTCAAATAGGGAGTGCGACTACTACAAATCCGTGAAACCCAAAGTTTTACCCTGATGATAGACTTAAGGAGTGGTAGTAATCCTCCTAAACTTGTCGCAACAAGAACGAACATGCTCGTGACAACTCCGAACATATCACGAGCTAGTTACAAACGTAGTTTGAGGTTTTGCTGTGGGTTTGAGATAAACGCAAAATTTGCAATTTGTCTCGTCATTTAACCTGAGCTTAGCTAACGTCTACGGCACTCGTAAAAGTACTATCACAAAATGTTACAGTACAATTGAAAACATGTGCTGAAAAAAGGATTTCGAACTCGAATCTGAAGACTCGAAATAAGGTTTCTTCTACTTCTTTTGTAATGGCTTGGTTAACTGAGCATGTTCACCTTCTTTTTAACTCAAGATAGTTTTAAGGTATCAACTCCTTATCTTTACTTTACTCTCAATCTACACTAAGCTTTTCACCTTCGATCTTTTGTTCTCCGATTTGTCACCCAATCTCTTCTAAAGATATTTTTCATGAAGAATCTAGGGTTAACTGTTTAGCTGAAAATTCTAAAAGTGGGGTGTGTCTTGATCTGTTTGATCTGTCGCGGCATCAATCTGTTAATGAATCACTTTACACGATAAAATTTAAACAGTCAAGCAAGAAAAGGACTTGGAATCAAGAAAACCAATTCCCATACATCATTTACCTTAAAATAGACTTCGTCACGCGTATATTGAAAAAAAAAGAGACACTTATTTAGTCAAATAACCCAGTT